TCCTCCTCCTGGCCAGTCCTACATTGTAGTCTTATTCTGGAAGCGCTGCTGGATCCTCCTCATGGTGTTTGCTGTTTGAAGTATTGGTGCGACAGCTTCCAGCACCCCAGCACCAGGCAGGTCACCAGAGGAGAGCAAACAGAGCATGTCACCATGAGGGACCAGTCCTTGGAGAGGGACATCGTGCTGGGGAACACTGAGGGCCTGGAAGAGAGGAAGACCTTCCATCAGGCGCATGGACATGTGACTGCCTCGATGGCTTACTCCCAGCACAGTGTGAGGAGGTAGCAGGATTAGGTATGATTTCGTTCTGTCGTGCATAGTTTTTCTATGACTTGCAGTGGGTTCAATGGCACCTCGCAACAATAAAAGAAGAGATTTGATGAGACATGGTGTCGTGACACATGACATGTCAGGCTGCTGCCTAAAAGTTTAGTGGCTCAAATCGACCAGGTACTCCATGGGAGAAAGATGAGCATGCCCCTCTCCTGTGATCACAGCCTGGGAAAACTAGCAGAGGGCCGCCATGAATGGACACCACAGCAGTAGCTTTCATTTGTGTTGAGGAGGCTTTAGGGATCCTAGGTTAAAGGACTCAGATGCTAACTGTAAGGTTGGCAGTTTGAATCCACCAGGTACTCCTGGGGAAAAGATGTGAGAGTCTACTTCCATAAAGACTTAGGCATTCTTCTCTCTCTTCCAAGGTCTCAGAATCAACTCAGTAACAGCAGGAAAGAAAAGACAAACAAGTTGTCTTCTTCTCCTTCTCCATTCCTTTCTATTAGTGGCATGCTGATACATACTTAACAATTGGCTTTCTGAATAAAACCACCACACACACACACACACACACACACACACACACACACACACACCCAAAATCCCATAAGCTCCTGTATGTGGCTTTTGCTGAACTCTGCAGTGCAAATAGTGTGATAGTAAAGAAAGAGAGGTGACGTATATAAAGCATGAGCCCAGAGCTTGATAAAAATTTTCTGGATTAAAACAAATTATATTGAGAAAGTAAGGGAAGGTCATACTGTTTGCCTGTTTGGATGAATTAGCTCAGGGAACTGTGAAATCCGTAGTTTCAGAAATGAAAAATCAGAAAAGGGGCTGATATATTTGCTTTCAGACAGATTCCTTAGTGTGTAGAAGAGTGACTTTGTTTCATTAATATGCGCGCGCGCACACACACACACACGCACGCGCGCGCACACACACACTCACACACACACACACACACACACACACACACTGAGAGAGGGAAAGACAAACAGTAACGGGAAACACTTTCTATGCTGTTTAGCACTTGCGGGGCTTGGTCTCTGGGGAGCTGCACAGCTAACCCAAAGGTAGCATCTCCCTGGCATTTTGGGTCTGCCCACAGCTTCACAGGAGAAAAATGGGCAGTTTCCTTCCATGGGATTTACAGTCTCTGAAAACACACTGGAGGGTCAGCTGTGAGTCAGTTCTAACTACAACACAGTGAGTTTCTCTCCTAGCCTGTTATTGTTTTATGCTGTCAAGTCGCTGATAGCAACCCCGTGTACACCAGCTCGGAACCCTGTCCTATCCTGAGCCAGTCTCACTAATTCCAACATACCAACTTTTATCGCCCCAGTTACTGTTTCACTCCATCTCATTTGGGGTCTTCCTCTCGTGTGCTATTTTTCCACCCTTCCAAGCATGACATCCTTCTCCAAGGACTGATCTCTCCTGGCCACGTGCCCGAAGTATGTGAGACAGAGCTTCAAAATCCTAGTCTCCAACGAGAAACTTGGTTTCACCCTCTCCAAGACAGATCTGCTTGTTTTCTTGGCAGTCCATGGTACGTTCAAGTCTCTTCTCCAGCACCACAATTTGAAGGCATCAATTCTTCTGTCATCCTTAGTCATTGTCCAGCTCTCTGATGCATAGCAAGTAAATGCGAAGACCATGGCCTGGATGAGGTAGGTGCACCTAGTTTCTAGGCTTGCATCATTGCTTTTCAGTACTTACTCTAGAGAGGTCCCTGACAGCAGATTTTCCCAATGCAATTCTTCTTGATTTCCTGACTTCTGGTGCTAAGAGTGCTGATTGTGGATCAACAAGATGTAATTAATGGTTGATAACCTCAATCTCTTCTCCATCTATCATGGTGCTGCCAGTTGGCCCAGTGTCTTTTTGATATTGAGCTTCACTCCATATTGAAGACTATAGTCCCTGACCTTCTAGTGAGTCAAAATTTGAAAAATTTCCCAGCCTTGTGGTTCAAAATACAAGTTCTGCCAGATATGATAGTGAGAAGTTCTTGTTCCTGCCATAGTGTCTTCATCTGCAAGCGGGGACCTGTCTGCTCATTAGTAGAAGGACTAATTATATATCTGCAATGTGCTTTTGAACTTCTTGAAGCTTTTGGGGCCATTCTACTACATCCTAAAAGGTCTCTTGGAGACAGAATCAGTTGGTTGTTTCAGGGAAATAAGAAAAATGTTTCAGTCACAGCAGGAAAAACATATTTTCTACTTTTCTAATTTTCTTACACTGAATCCCCTGCTTTCTAAACAAATTTCCTTTTCAAATGAATTTTTAATGAATTCACATGTGCTGTTGGCTTTAGTTGTGACGAGTGGCTCCGAGTCACAGCAAGCTCCTATGTAACGTAATAAAACCTTACCTAATCCTGCATCATATCGTGTTCATAGTCATGGGGATGCTTGAGTCCAGATTAAAAAGAAATATTCTGTTCCGATTGGTAGGGTTCCCATACTGATGATTATTTAGAAGTATGTTGCCAGTTCTGTCTTCCTCTGATGCCTTCATCTGGAAGCTCTGCTGGAATGTGTCCACCATGCAAATATTTGAAATAGTATCTAACATCATAGCAACATGTGAGCCACAGAGGAGGACTGCAATCTGACAGAGAAGTGGTGAATACACATATATGTGGGCCAAAGACATTTCAAACCACAGAATGATAGACAATACAAGAGCATTTCCACCCTTGTCTACTCTAGGTCATCATTGTTTCAAGCAAATCCAGCTATGTCTGCATGCACTTTTGTATCATGTAACAGTGTAAACGCAAGTTACGCACACTATGCTACAATTCTCTTATCATTATATTTTTAGAGAGCGTTCCATTGTGGAGTATACAAAGTTGTTGCCTCCGAAGAAATTTTGCATTGAAAGAAATGTTACATATAATCTATTACATAGATACAATTAATTTCTTACTGGAAATTATTCAGCTGTTTCTATTTTGCTATTTTAAAGAATATAGCAATGACTGCCCTTGTATGTTTTGCTTTTGTTTTTCTAAATGTTGGCATCTATCCAAACTTTAATTCCTAGAAATGAATTGAAATAATGTCAAAATGCTTGCTGTAGAGGATTTACTAATATATATTCTCATCAGAATTCCTGACGATGATTTCCTCCCATATACCTCAATATTTTTGTTTCTGCACTTAAGCCCTTCTTATTTTTTAATGATGGCTGGTATTGATGGCAGTAATGCAGGTACTTCTTTACCAGTCAAGTGATTAAATTCTAGAGCTGGGAGCATTTGAGAGGCTCATACCTACTATTGTTGTTAGGTGCCATCAAATTGACTGAGTGAAACTCTTCTTGATCCTGTGCGATTAACACAGCCTCCTGCTAACATGTCTAAAGTATGCTAGATGAAGCTTCTCCATCTTTCCTTCTAAGGTATATTACTTCTTCCAAGACAGATTTTGCTTGTCTTGATATCAAGTTCTGTATTGATTATCACTGTGTCAGTTTCATTTGGGGTCTTCCTCTCTTTTGCTAAACCTCTACCTTTGTAAACATAATGTCCCTTTTCAAGAAATAACCTCGCTATTGGCTTTTCAATCTGCATACAGAACAAATCATCTAAGACACTGGGCTGTATGAGGAGGAATGTGGCATCAGGATTGGTGGAAGAATCATCAACAGCCTGCGTTATGCAGATGACACAACCCTGCTCGCTGAAACTGAGGAGGACCTGAAGTGTTTGCTGCAGAAGGTCAAGAACTGCAGCCTTAGATACGGATTGAGGCTCAACATCAAGAAAACAAAGATTCTCACCACTGGGCCAATTGCCAGCATCAGTATGGATAGTGAAGAGATTGAGATAGTTAACAGTTTCAGTTTACTTGGCTCCACAGTCAACACTCTTGGTACCAGCAGCCAGGAAATCAAGAGACGAATTGCATTGGGAAAGTCGTCGTCATCTGTGAGGGACCTCTCAAGAGTACTGAAGAGCAAAGACGTCAGGCTGTAGACTAAGGTGCACCTGATCCAGGCTATAGTCTTTGCAATTAGGTGCTATCCATCAGAGAGCTGGACAGTGACTAGGGATGATAGAAAGAGAATTGATGCCTTTGAGCTGTGGTGCTGGAGAAGAGTGTTGAATATACCATGGACTGCTAGGAGAACAAACAGGTTTGTCCTGGAGAGGGTGAAGCCGGAAGGCTCTTTGGAGTCAAGGATTCTGAAACTCTTGTCTGACATACTTTGGGCATGTTGCAAGGAGGGACTGGTCCTTGGAGAGGGACATCATGTTTGGAGGAGTGGAGGGGCGGCGCAGGAGAGGAAGATCCTCAATGAGATGGGTCGATTCTGTGATTGGGGTGCTAGGAATGAGTGTTTGAGATGGCGAGGTTGACACAGGACAGAGCAGAGTTTATTTAGGGCTCTGTACACAGGGTCGCTATGAGTCGCAAACGACTCGATGGCACATAACAACAATAACAACAACAACAACAACAACAACAACAACAGGCTTTTGCATTTACCGTTGCTACTGGCAACCACTGTTTCACACAGTTGTGTCGATGCCCCGCCCCTATTGGTCCAGCCCGGATGGCCGAACCTGTCCTCTTGGGAAATCGGCCTCCGTCCTTTAAGAGGCGGGACTTCTGGGCACGTCGTTCACGCCACGGGAAGAGGAAGTGCCACCTGCGAACACTCCCTCGCTCGTCCGAATTCGGTGGCGCCACGTCCGTCGGTCTCCGCCTCCTGCTCCGCGTCTTCGGCGGCTTCCGTCTGGACGCCCTACACTTGCGGAGCCGGCCGCGTCGTGAGGGGGTCGAGACCGGGTGTTGGACGTCTGTGCGCATCCTGGCGACCTGAGAAGCGAAGATGTCGGATATCGGGGATTGGTTCAGGAGTATCCCGGCCATCACGCGGTATTGGTTCGCCGCTAGCGTCGCGGTGCCCTTGATTGGCAAACTCGGCCTTATCAGCCCGGCCTACCTGTTCCTTTGGCCTGAAGCTTTTCTTTATCGATTTCAGGTATTGACTAGCGTCTTGGGGCATTGGAGACTACATGTCCCGGCAGGCCCCGCGGCGGCAGACCGTCCGCCGGCGTGTTGCGGGCGCGTGGTGCCTGCTGGGATATGTAGTACTTGGGGCTCCGCCGGTTTAGGGCTGGGTGCTGGAGGCCTCGGAGAGGTGGGAATAGGGGTCTGGAGCAACTTTCTAAATAGTGGGTGACGTAGACTTTGCTCCAGTGGGAAGGAACTCATCTCACTCTCCCATTAAGATTATGCTTCCTGCCCTTTTTCAGTCTGTGAAGGAAGCGGTGTAAAGGTAGATTGGTGATACCTATTAGTGGAATTTACTCCCATTGTTGATACTGGCTCTACCTGGACCAGGTGCCCTCTGACCTCCTTCTGCCACTCATGTGGGTGTCAAAGTGGATAGAAGCCAACATCGGGCTGGATTCTGTTCATGTTAATTGTTTCCCCCCTGTAGGAAGTATTTAAGGTCAGAGGTGCAAAGGAGTTTAGTTATTTGCCATTTTCTCCCAGGCGCTGACATAGTCTCTGTCATGTAGGACCTGAATACGTGAAGAAATGAGAGTGCATGCTCCAGAAATGGAGTTATTACTGTGAGTTTGAAGGAAAGATTTCAGAGTGATTTCTGGGCAGAGAAATGTTCATTTTCTGAGAATGATCTATATATTCTGTGGTCTAAATATTAATATCTGGTTAGATGCGCGGATCAGACATTAATTTTAATACATTGTTGGGAACTGTGTGTAATACTCTTAAATTTTATCCCCTCTTCCCTGGTTGTTACTTTAAAGTATTTTTCCTTGCTCTTCCTGACGTTTAAATGTGATGTGTGCCAGTGATCAACTGGAGAATCTCTTCTTGACCCTTCCTTCCTAGGACGCCTTCTTTAGCCTTGATTTGTTGTTGTTAGTTACAATTGCGTAATCGCATAGTGATTGTGTGAACAACAGATTGAAATCTCATCCTGTCCCTCACCATCCTTACAATCTTAGCCCTGCTCAGTCCCATTGTTGTGGTTACTGCGTCAGTCCTTCTCATTGAGGGTCTTCCTCTCTTTCACTGACACTCATTTGGCCCAGCATGATGGCCTTTCCCAAGTTAGGAAACATACCCTGACAACATACCCAAAGTATGTGAGACAAAGTTTCACGGACCTTACTTCTAAGAAGCATCTGATTGTACTTCCTCCAACACAGGTTTGTTTTTCTGGCAGTCTAGAGTATGGTCAGTACCCTTTGCCAGTGTTGTAATTCACAGACAACAGTTCTTCAGTCTTCCTTATTCATTGTCCAACTTTCAGATGTATAGGAAGCAATTGAACATACTATGGCTTGGGGTAGGTGCACTTTAGTCTTTAAATTGACATCCTTGCTCTTTCATACTTTAAAGAGGTCCTTGACATCAAAAAGACAGCCTGTCATTTGATTTCTTACAGCTGCTACCGTGGATGTTGATTGTGGATCCAAGTAAAGGAAATTCTTGACAATTCTCCATCTATTTTGATGTTGCTTATTGGGCCAGTGTTGAGGGAGGATACCTTGTCTTCATACTGTGGAAACCCAGATACAAATCTCTTCAATCCAGCACATTCTCCTGATTCCTAGACTTGTAAATACCACCCATCTGTTTGAAATCACGAGTTGAGTGACTAGTTGGCATCTCAGATTTAAAATGCTCTATAAGAAATCCCCTCCCTTTCACCCTAGAAAGAAAATGCAACTCCATTTTTGTAGGAGCTCCAGCTAATAGTTTTGAGAAACTCCTGTTTCTCATATAATCTGAAATCTATTAGCAAATTCTGACTTTCTGTGGAACACATTTTTGGGATGCACTCTCCTCTCGCTTGTTTTAAGTCATTATCATCTTTTTGTTTTCTTCCTTACAGTGTTTTCTCCAAACAGCTGTAGTGATTATTTGGAAATAGAAGTCAAGTCCTGTCAACTTCTGCTCAGATCGCTCCAGGATTTTTTCAGTTAAATGTGTAAAATCCGGGTCCTTTCTGTGATCTCCTCTCCTGCTGATCTCTGCCTTGTGCATGGCCTTTGCTCATGTTTTTCTGTGTGAGGTAGATAACCGTGGCTCATTCCATTACCTTCTTTCCTTCTGGTCTTGGCTCTTATGTTTATCTTACCCTAATTTTTCTAGCTACTACAAATCACCGATTGGTGCTTACTGGTGAACTTTTCCTAAGAGAAGAAGGATACATGAGAACAGGAGCTTTATTTTACTTACCACTTTCTCTGTCCTTTAAAATAGTTCCTGACACAGATCAGACGCTACTGTACAATTACCTTTCTATTTCTGCAGTAGTGGTCCTTATGGGACTGAGTTCCCTTAGCACAATACTCTCCAGTCCCTCCCAAGTTAGGTAGTGATTTTTAAAATTATTTCTCCTGCGTGCTGCATAGTATTTCATTGTGTGACTGTACCATAATTTCTCAGTCCATTTGATTGTGTTTGGCTGTTTCCATGTTCTTGTGATGGTGAATAACACTGCTATGAACATTGGTGTACCAATCTCTGTGCCTCAGTTCTCATTTTCTCAGGGTATGTTCCAAGCAATGGAATAGCTGGGTCATATGGAATTTCTATACCAAACCTTTTTTGAGGAAACACCAGACTGCCTTCCAGAGTGGTTGTACCATTATACAATCCTGCATCCTCTCCAACATTTATTATTTGCTGTCCTGCTAAATTTTGTCACTGCTCCTGGGGTAAGATAGTATCTCATTGTCGTTTTGATTGTTATCTCTCTTATTGCCATTGATTTTGAGCATTTCTTCATGTGTCTGTTTGCCATCTGAATATCTTCCTCTGTAAAAACCCTTCCCATGTCTCTTGCCCATTTTGTGTTATCAGTCTTTTTCTTGTGGAGGCCTGTTGCAGACTGAGGGTCCCAAAGAATGAAATAATTTTATAATTATTAATAATGAGACAGACTACCAGAATGATATAGAACAGAGTGTGTGAAAAACAGGGGGCCAACAGTTCCCATGGCTGAAGGCCCCAAGCCATGCTTCTCTGAGTATTTATTTAGAATCATAAGGAAAGTGAACAAAGTAAAATCACAAGGAAGTACAAAACAAAAACAAAGGATAATGGTGAAGTCTTTTACAGATAAGGCCAAATTCCTCTTTATGCTAATCTCAAGAGGGAGGGATTCTTTTGACACAAACTAAAAACAATGTTGACTCCTAGGGAACGCCCCAGTACCACAAGGTGACCTTTGGCTTGTATTAAGCTTCTCTCATTTCCTGATACAGCATTTGGTCCACTGTTATTAAATTTGATAGTCAGCTTCCCTCATTTCCCCCTCTTTTGTTTATTTTTTATTTTTTTTCTATATTTTATTAATTTTCATAAACATTTACAGAGATTTTGGGTTTCCATTCATTCATTGTTGCACTATTCTCTCTACCCTCCTCCCAGTTTGTTCTT